TTGCGACCTGTCAAGGCCCCCACAAGTGGGTACAGATATGGATGAATGGATGGATGGCTGTATGGTAAAGCGCTGGCATAAATTGAAAAGCGGAGATCATGAAAATATTGCATCAAAAAAGTTCAAGCTAGTTCAACTTTTTACAGACTTTTTAGTGCAGCTAAATGTTATCCACTCACAGACTCCATGAGCCAATGAAATCTCCACATACAGCCTTTAAAATGATGGTTTCAGAACATCCATGTGTAAGAATCTGGTGTTTAATGACAAGAAGAAAGTGATTGTGAGAGAGATTGTACGGCGATAACACTGGCTGTAGACAGCAGTGCTTATTACCTTAAAAGAAAAGTTCTAGGTTTTTGTTTATTTGTTTTGAGAGTTAAATGAGAAGATTAATACCACTCTCATGTCTGTATGGTAAATATGAAGCTATACTGCCAGCAACCAGCTAACTTAGCTTAGCATAAAGACTGGAAATAAGGGCACCATTAAATATTCCGCCTACTAGCACCTATAAAGCTCACTCATTAATATGCTCTATCTGGTTCTCTCTCAACAAGAAAACAAATATATATATATTTCCCAAAATGAAAGACCTACTTGTCAGAAGATGATATTTTTGCTTTTTGAATGCAATTCAGTACAAATGTTATGTTTTAGCATAAAGAATTGGTGTACTAATATCGTTAACAGGTACCTTTCAAGGGAAATAATATGTTCTTATCATACATACAAATGCACCGCGCATATCTGAATGAAATAAGATGACTCCAACAGTCGGTGAGTTTATAAGGAACAGGTTCATACTTTAATAAAAGGGTATTTCCCTTGGCACAGATCTGCTATCAAATAAATAAAGCAATTAATCAAATACAATCTATATAAACTAAACAAAGTCATGAAAAACATTAGGAGGGAGGGGGATAGAAAACAAACAGCTAGTGCTAAACAATTTTCTTTTACAACAAATACCATGTGAAAGTGTGTCTGTGTGTAGAGGAAGAAACAGCTTGTGGTAGAGGCAGAGAATTATTCCTCCCTGCTGAGTCAGATTGGTGTGGCGTAGGTATTGTAGGAGTACTAGCTGACAGTAGGCAAGAGAGATAGTTTGACAGTCATTCATTATAAATAAGCCTTATTTTCTTTCTAAATGACGCTGGTTTTATCTTTCTGCAGTCCACTATATACATCAGATTTTTTTTAATTTTGATATATGGATATAAGTGGAGCAATACGTACTATATTAACATGGAGAGGTGGCTCTGAATATCCTACACAACAGGACAGACGATAATGGATCTAGAGCAGTTTGTATGACAAGATTGGACTTTTTTTTGTTCCAAAAAGAAGCATTAATAATTTGAAATATTAAAGTTACACCCACTCTCACATAACAATCTGGCAAGCAAAATAATACAAACAAATTCTGGTGGATTTAGAGGCATAGCTGACAACTTGGCTGCTGATAAAACAACAAAAACACCTGCACATGATCTTATTTTTCCCTCTGCAAATATAGATATATTGCCACTGTATGACAAAAGACAGAAGAGGATTGTGACAGTGGTAAGGTTAACAATGAGGTTTTGACAACACGTTTTTTAAATGAAGAAATCTGTGTAATAAAAACTGAAAAATAACTGTTTTCCCAACCCTTAACAAATGCTGTTGAGGTACCCTTGAGCAAAGTACAGCATCTAAAGATGCTCCAGTGACAGTGGTGGTCAAAAGGTAAGAAAGTACATCTGTAGTTTCTGGTGAGTAGTTTTTAAGTTTCTAGTGTGACTTCTGGTAATTCTATGACTGTAAAGCAGGAGATTAACAAAAAGGAGTTATGTGTCTTCAGTAAAACTCTCTCTGGGTGAAAGAAGTTTAAAAATTACAACCTGACCAAGCTTTTCACACAAATTCCTTCAGAAGCCCTCGCTCACCGTGTCGAATCAGACCACCCTGCTGGGCGAGCAGTCGCCTGCTTGCTGTCCGTTCACACAAGACGACCGTTTCCACACAGCTTATATTTACAGTCATACACTGGTACCAACACTGTTTTGGGTGAGGTGCAAGCATTGACAAAGGAGTTACAGTGTTATGAGGGATCCAGTAACAAGGATTTGTTGCCCAGGAAAAGCAGTGTGAGGTGAAGAAGCTGAGGTATGGAACGCAGCTGTGATCCCCTCGGGGAATGACGCCGTTTTCACCACCGGGTCCCATGAGATGACCCGTCTGCCTGGTGCCTCCTGCTAAAGGACAGCCCGCAGCTGTGAGAGGACATCGCAGGGCTGGCATACACTGCATTCTTGCTCATCACAAAAACACACATGCTTATGACAGACTAACACACTCAAACATAAGGGATAGTCTCAGCATGAAGCCTGCTAATGGTAAAGGGCTCTGGTTCACTCAGATCACCTCCCCTCTCTATGTGTGAGGCTACCTTAGAGCGAGGCACTTAAACTCTCATTGCTCTAAAGGTCAAGAGACTGGCCCCACTAGAATGAAACAGGAAAGTGCTGCAAAAGATCATGTCTGCTAAGCAAGAATATCAGTAGGAAAAACAGTGAATAATCCTGGAGAACATGCAACTCTAACTTCAGTGTCTCTGTCGCACCAGATGTGGCACGGGTAAGTTACATTTTTGCATGTGTTTTGCATGCGCCATCAACATCTGCATGTTTACAGCAGTGCCCTTAGAGCATCATGGGACAGGATGAGCAGGAGCCCGCAGGAGAGCAGCAGTGGTGAGTTATAGGTCTAGTGGAGACTGCGGGCCGGGCCCAGTGTTATCCAGCACCAGAGGAATGAGACAGCTGAAAGAGCCCTCGCCCCGCCACACCACAAAGAAAGACCTGCTGACAGCTGGGGGACAGGAAGATGCCATGGAAACAGAGGGAGCAGCCGTGTGACCCTGGGCCAGGCCCGGACAACAGAGCTGCTGGGGAAAGTGCTGGCTTGAAAGTAAGAAAAGAAAAGCACAGAGCATGACAACTCCCAGGTGTGAATATGCGTGACTGCTTGGCTCTGAAGCGGGGCAGTGGTGAAATATTACATGTCTGCTCAGCAAAAAAGAATTCCTTGCATTAATTACTGTAAAATAAAAGGTCAAACCCTGTATTGATAAATGAAAACACCAACCTCCAACTGGCTGCACAGAGCAAGGTTCAATGTATGTAAAATATGCTAAAGGGCCTGAGGCAGAACTAGTGTACTCTACTGCTTTGATGTCACAGATCACGCCATGTCTAGTTTTGTTTTTAAGTGTGTCATGGGACTGAGGACATGTGAGTCAACTGCTGACATCTTGGACATGCAAATAAAAAAAAAGAGACCTTTAGGCACAAACACCACCAGACTAAACAGAAGCTTTATAGTGTAAGTATTAGGGATCGACCGATTAACGGCCTGGTGGTAATATTCAGCATTTTCCGATTATCAGTATTGTTGTTTTTTTAACTGATAACAGATCAAATAAAATATCTCTGAGTAAACGTGTTACTGCGTTACATTTTAAAAGGGGAAAGGTAAATCATCTTATTTGGTGATAATAATAATATCAGATAAAACTATCAAATAAGAGCATATTTAGGCCTCCAGGTGAATCAGTTCATAGGTGAGAACAGCACCAAAATCAACCAATTAATTTCAGTCACTTTGCAGCCTGTGCATTAGGAACATCTAGCTAAAACTAATGTAGTCTAATACAACAGTCCTGTATTAAATCCTCCTTCATGGAGTTTATAATGTTCAGTTTTTATTAAAAGTGTTACCTGGACCTTGTCGGCCTCTTTGATTACAGATAATCAGTATTGGTATCGGCCCTGAAAAAAACCATATCGGTCAATCCCTAATATTTTAAAGGGGAAAGATAAGGTAGATATTTCTACCTTATCTTTATGCAGAACCCAGATACTAACGGTCTACATGAACAGCATGACGGCCATTAAATTACATCTAAGCTTACATGAACTGAACTTGAGTAATATACTTTGATATGTATTCAAAAGTACAGCCGTGTCCTCGTGTTTCGTACTCTAGACACACTACTGAACGTGACTGAACAGCACTGTTGAGAGTTGGGATTTTAGTCATTCAGCCTTTTACTTTTACTAATTATTGGGTCACGGTTACATAGCTAATCACATGGTGAGAGAGTTGAAACGGAGAGAGAGAATGAGGGAGTGTGTGAGACTGAGTGAGTTAATACAGTTGTACATGTTCTTGTGAAAATGGGGCTCCAAGTGGTCTTATAAAATGTGGTTGTGTAGGAAAACAAACATAAAAGCTTCAGATAGTGAATACAAAGATATCACATTATCAATAAAGCTTATAAAATTGATAACAATATATACCTTATGTACAGTAAAGGTTAGTTAATAAAAGGAGCTTTTCGACACTTCAGTACTGCAGATTATGACACGATTTCTCTTCTTTCAAAAAAAGTTTTGAAGTAATTTGAAAATAACTTCTGAATGCTTAGTCAAAGTCACCATTACAACAACAATTAGGATAAAATTAGAGGTAGCAGCGGATTTGGGATCTCTGTTCTTTTTTTTTCCTTTTTTCTTTTACTTTTCCTTCCCATTAAACTTGCTTACGGGGTATTGCGTGCTTAGATCAGAATCTTCATTTTCATCTTCAAAAACCTGCCTGACAGCCAGCTTTAAATACTCACGCACCATGAGCGCACTTCAAGTGGTTTTCAACAGACACCAGTGTCGTGACACTCACACACACACACTCTTCCTACGCCCACACATTCACACAATGTTTCACTCACACACTCACACACACACACACACACACACACACACACACACACACATACATACACACACACACACTATGCCCTGCTCTCCTATCATCTATATTCCTTCATATATTTTCATCTTTACACCACAGTCTTTCTTCCTCTCATCCCTCCTGTTCCTTAAAAACCTTTTGGCTTAGTGGTCTGGAAGGGCTGTGGTGCTGGTTTGGAGCCGTAGAGTTCATCAGGTAGTGGGATACAAAGTCAGGGGGAGAGGAGCTGTATATTAAATCTGTCCCTCCGTCCCTCCTCTCGAGCCCCAGCCGTGATCCTCAGTCCTGCTGCATACCCAAGTCTGACCAAGCTGTTTATAACACTGGTTAATAACATCTCAGCACTGGACTGCCCCTCCCATGATCCTCCTCTCCTCCCTATGTCCTGTGTCCAGTACAAAGCCACTGAAGGGCTAACTGCACAGTATTTGAGGAGGTGGTTGACTGTAGTCAGTGCCTGCAAGCCTGGTTGGGTTTTGTGGGGCTACAGGAGTGCTGAGCTGTCACAGGCAGGGTTGAAATTCAGGACTGATAAAAATGGTGGTAGTGGTGATGGTGTTCATGGTGGTGGTGATGCTCGTGCCGCTGCACCACTTGCGCCAGCCCCCCCTCATAAAGCAGCACACTGGGCAGGTCCCTCACCTGCTCCTTCTCCACCACTGGTCCTGAAGCTGCCAGAGGGCCTAAAGCGCGGTAGCCCTGGCTCTCCTTGGACCGCTGCTTGTGTTTGCGGTAGGGGGCTGTGGACTGGTGAGGTGGGGTCTGGCTGGGTAGGGCCGGGGGAGGAGGTACACCTCGGCTTCTCATCACCCTGCCACTGATCTGTGCAGGTGGTGTGCGGCTGTGGGTCTTGGGAGAACGGAGGGCATGTTTCCCTGAGTCTTGGCCTCGCGGCCGGGGAGGGTGGAGGCTGTCCGGAGCAACAGTGTCCACAACAGTTTGCAAGCGGCGGTGGTGGGAATGGGAGTGGCCGTTTTCTGGTTCGTGGGAGCGAGAGCGTGTCTGGTTGGATGAGCGGGTCTGAGGCTCTGCCTTTGTCGGTTCTGTGACTGGAGCTGTGAAACAGACAGACAGGCATTTATTTTTCTGAGAGCAGCATCAATGACAAATGTCAAGGTTGCAGAGAAACAACTCTGTCACAGGAGTGATGAATGTTGAGATTCATTACATGTGTACTCAAAACCCAGCAAAAAAGAAGAAAAACAATCCATTATATGCAACTTATTTTGCCAACAGCTCACTAATGAAGATCCACTAAAAAGCTCCACGGTAAGATTGTGGCAGCTTGATTTCAGTTTCTGTCTTCATGTGGATAACGCTGACACACCATGACACAGAGCAGATCTCTGTTAGTGCTTTCCTAACAGCACCAACATTAAAATAATCACATGTCATCGCTGACCATCAGATCAAGGCCGCTGCTTATTAGACCTAATACTTCACTTCACAACAGCCTGTTCTGTTGATGGGCTTTAGCCTTGAACACTTGATGTATTGTGCTTGCCTGAGCCCAGATGTTTGTACTGGCGAACAGCTCAGTGGGCTGGTAGTTCCACCTAATGGCTCCAAGCAGGTGCCGCAGTAATGAGGGCCCCTGGATGCAGCTTCAAAGGGCCACGGTCTGTGTTTCTCCCTCCCCTCTCCCCCTCGTTACCCCTGGCCCCGGTCCACTCACCGGCTCCGAAGCGGGATGTGTAGTTTTCGATGCCTGCCAGGTCCAAGTAGTGGTTCCTGCGTTCCAGGTTCTCATCCACACAGTGGCGCTGGCAGCCCGGCTGGGTGTGGTGGTCACTGTGGTGGCGCCTGTGGACACAAGCGGCACCTCTCATTAGGTAGCAGTTTGGGTCAGTGAGGTTCAGTATGGTAGTGTTTGGAGAAAGTAAAACAAGTGTTCCTTATGATCAGGCAGCAGCAGGCGAATTGTTAGAGAAGTGAGATTGTGACTGGAAAATCACAGGTTTAAACCTCAACTGGAAGTATCTGAACAGAGGCCTAACTCTCCCCTCCACTGCTACCTCCTCCTTAGTACAGTGTAGGTAAATCTGGGCAAAACTAATTAAAGAGTAGACAACTATTGCAGATCTCAAGTGTGTGAACAACCACTACCCCTTGCAACTTTTATGAGAAAAGAAAAGGGGGATGTTCAAATCAGCGATCTAATAAAAAAAATCTGATGATGATAAACTTCATATTCTTCTTGTAGACACCACAAGCTTAAATAATAGAAACTGTGTTCAGAGGAGGTGGGTTTACCTTAGGAGTGCTCGAGTCTTCTTGTCTGCACTCTTGGGGTCTTCTGTACACTTGTCATTTTTCTCTCTGGGGTGGGACAAGTCTGTGAATGTGTGAAAGACAGGAGGCTATTATCAAAGAGAGCTACACAGAGCAGCCACACACTCACACACACACACACACACACACACGTACACACACACACATGACAACAGTCACACAAGCCTCAGAAGAAAGCAACCTTTGTTTTGGGGTTTTACTTTGAAGATCTATAGAAAAGGAAAAACAACAATGCTTCATTTATTCTATTTTCAACTCGCAGCCTCTTATAAGGCGTGAAATGAAATAAAAAAACTTGCAGACTTCAGAAATAGTTTATTAAGGCTGCGAGATCTGATGCAGTTTGAAATTAGCATGAAGGCAAGCGGCGATATTTTCAAAGCTTGCTCTGTTTGAATCTCTTGATGGATATTTATAGTCGAAACAATAGGACGCAAACACACAGGAATATATACTTTTTGAGATATTTTTCCCTGACTACTTGTTTACCAAGTCATCAGTGAGAAAAGTTAAGTTGAACGTAGCTATATTTTCCCAGCAGCTCTGAGAAGGGGGGGGAGGAAGAGAGGGGGAGAAGAGGGGAAAAAAGGGAACTTTGGAGAAAAGAAAAATGGCTGTGGTTATCAAAAGGACTCGGCACATCTCTTAAGGTTTCTTTCAGAGTATTTGAAGGCGCTGAGGGAGGGGGCCTTCTCTTGGCTCTGTCACTCCCCCCATCATTAAAAATGAACCCCATTGAGTGGGAGAGATGGAGCGACTCTGAGACTGCGAGGAACAAAGCTCTGACAGGCCTGAAGCAGCCGCCTTTCTGCATGACAACAAACACATCTCTGGCTGAGCTGACAGCAGGCAACACAAGGGAGACCCCAAAATGCCCTCTCTTCTCCTCCGCCCCCACCCACTGTGTTAATGCAAGCTTTACCTGCCGCACCCTGCGTGCAACTCCTCCACCGCTGGCTGGAATCAGGCGCCACCGAGAGCTTGACCCGCAACGTCTTGCTGCTGCCAGGAGAGTGGTTGACGGAGGCGTCCACGACCTCGTAGATGGTGTGGAGCAGGCTGGTGATATCCTGCGGGAGAGAGGTTATGGGAATGTGTTTGATCTGGGCTTTTTGATATGCAGCTTCCATTTATCACTTGATCACAACGTATAACAAAGATATTGTGTGGATTATTGGTAGCACTGGTGCAGAGACACAGAATTTCAGCGCACATATTTCACAGAAGGAATCAAGAACAAAGGGGCATGCTGTAGGAGACTATTCTTATTACTACACTGTTTGAATTCAGTATTCTGTAGCTTTGTGCATGTATCATAAACTTCATGCTAGCTAGGAATTTAAAGAAGTGACTCAGACAACAGCGAACAGAGAAACACACTGATGTCAGTTGTTTTAGTTCAGCTTTCCAAGTGAAACGATCAGACAGGGTGTAAAGACAAGTTATAAATTCATGAAAAGAAACGTCTCTGCGGTAGCAGGGGCGGCTGACTGAGATGTCAGACCTGATATCAGTCATGTTACAGCTGTGTGAGCTCTAGACTTTTTCTGTTTAATTCCTCAGTGTCTTTTAAATGACTGAGATCACGTCTGCATACGGAGTGACATGTTTGTAGGTTTTCAAATAAGTGCAACAAAGAGCAGGTATACATATACTCAAAAGCACACATTCAAATACAAAGCACCCCTGTCCTCGCATGAATCATGCAAACAGATGTTTTCATGTGACTGCAGGTCATTATGATGCTCTGCCTCAGGCCAAGGAAAAGGAGGGACAGAATTATAGGAACAAAGACAAATTAAACAATTACCAACATCACAACTTTCAAATGAAAGGTGATTCCATGTTTACTTCAGGAAAAGGTAGTTGACCGTATTTGGACTCCTTAATTTGCACATAAAATAACGCTGTCTCTTGTGGCTGTTTATATTATTTATATATTCAGCACTGACAAGTGTTTGGTGCACCATACTGAGCTAATGACTCCCTCTTGGGTCTTGGCAACTGCGCTGGATCTTTTCATAGTAAACTCAGCTTTAATTGTCCATAAAGATTTCACCTGGTATGGATGTGAAATGAATTGACTCATACAGTATCTCAAATCTCATCAGCGTTTTACTTTACGCAACTTCACCAAAAGAGCTTATTTGACCACACTGCTGAGAATTAAGCCACACAAAGACTCCACTAGTATAATTTTCACTCACTATACCACTCTGGCTCACAAAAAAAGGACTATTATGAATTCTTCAGGGACTGGTTCCACATACTGGTTTCAGATATAGATGAACTGTAAAAAAATAAATAAATAAAAAAATGAAATAAAATAAAATCTTTTTTTTGCTTCCTTCTCTTTTTTATTTGTGTGAAGAGGTACAAAAAAAAAAAAAGAGTTTGAGAAGAAAGCTCTTCTTTCCTCCTCCAAGCCGCCGCCTGCCGTCTCATGAGCCGTGGAGCCACAGGCAATGCCAAAAAAACTGCACAGCCAACCACACAGAGGACAGCTCCAGTCTCTTTGCGCTGTTTCAAGTTGTTCTCAAAAAAACACAGGCCTTTCTGGATGTTCTCTCAGATCTGTACCAGGCAGACGCAAGCCACAAGGTACCTCGCAGGAGTGGGAACACACAGACGGTGCTGGATTTGGTTCTTAGGAGTGAGATTGGGTTAGAGGCTTATAGCTTCTATCCTCACTTTCTTTTTGGGTGTGGTAATACCAGAAAAAGTTAACAGGGAAGTTACTGATTCATTTCCAGGCAAAGATGAGATGGTGTTTTGTATAAGTAAGCTGCTTGATCTGTAAATTTTTTGTGGCATTAACTTCAAATGTGTGTATTCAAAAATGTTTCTTTCATATTTTTTCCATTTATATTATTGCAAAGTACAGGAAAATGACAAATGCTAACTAGGTACGTTTGATATGAAAAAGGCTGAACGATTTACTTTTCAACAAAGTGACTACTGTGTGGTGTTGGCAGCTGTTTTGTTTTAATTGTCTGCTTCGTATTCATTTGCTTGCTTGTTCATTCATTCATTTCTCCAGGTTAAAACCGTTTCGGAGCAGATGGCTATTACCTCTCTGGTTACTTTGCCGTTGTTGTCAAAGTCGTAGAGGGTGAAGGTCCACTCCTGCCTGTTATCCTCTTCCACAGACACAGCGCACTCCAGCTCCTGAAACAGCACAGCATTGGACTATCAACATCATCCAGTGTGCATGTGAGTGTGTATTTGTGAGTGTGTCCTCCTGCCATTGCCCTAGTTTCATCCAGAGGGGAGGTAATAAACGTCCTGTTCAGTGTTGACACTCACTTCAAACTGGAGCTGTTTCTGTGGCCCTGCGGGGGATTGGCTGTCCCTCTCCTGCATCTTCTCCTCCACACAGCAGCTGTCTGTCTTCTCCGGGGGTAAAGCCACTGCAGCGACACACACACACACACAGACACACACACACAAAGATAAAAGAGGGAGCCTCGGGATGGAAACGTTGAGTGCAGTCATAACCTGAGGATATGCCGTTGCCTTCAAGTGTTCCTTGTAAGCTCCTACTTCCGAGCTTGGCAGTCGCAATTAAGTTGTGTCACATATTCAAGTGCTCCTGGTTTGAAATAAATCTACACAGCCACACTTCTCACTCTTTTTGTCTTACTGAAATAAGATTTTTTTATATTCATATTAGTAATAAATTATGTTTGAAGGCAGTATAGGTGCGGAAATAATACATACATAGTATCAACAATTTTGTTGGACTTCAGGTTTCAGAATTCAATTGAATTTTACTTGTACAGTGTATTTACATTATTTGCTTTAATTTTCAAGGGTGGCAGAAAATCAAAGTATCTGACAAAAAATGCTCTTTGGATTATCACATGTCTAAAACGCTTAGGGGAAGCAATCAGAGCAAACTGATCTGTGATCTTTTGTTTCTTTTAAGACATTTTAAGTTGCTTTTACCAGTACTGAAAATACACTCATGCTGCCAGGGTTGAGAAATGTTACTCAAATTGAGTTTCATGTCAAATAACAAGATAATTACTGCATCATTTCAGAGAGCAGAAGTGATGTAGAATCGAAACATCAAGACGGGAACCGGAGCTCAAAATGTCAATCCAGTGCGAAGAAAAATGTTTAAACTGTGACAGAACTGACTCTCTAGTGGCAAAAGCTCTTCCATCAGCCACATAAAGTAATAGTTTTTAAACTCTTAGCCACCATATATATATCCCAGTGAGTTTGCACTGAGAGGGGATGTCAAACATGAAACTGAATGGTATAACATGCCTAAAACATGACAGAGTATTAGGTGGCTTTCGATTATAAATGGTGGAACTAAAACTGCATCGGAACATCAAAGGCCTATAGGACGCCCCTGAGTCCCCAGCTCAGTGCAGCAGAGCTCATCATTTCATGGAATGACATTCATTACATTACCATCCAGACGGAGAGTACAGGGAGACAGTCCAGAGGGAGCATTAATCTGTCGTATACATTTTACCAGTCAAACTGACGGCCAGACCAAACTGTGTGGAGCCTGACAACGTTTCAAATACCATAAATCAATGAAGTATTCACTGTACTACACCTTATGGCACAGATATTCCCGGACCACAACCCTGCTTTGTTTTGATCAGTGAACACAAGTTACTGTATAGGGTGGGACTCCATTAGGAGTGCAATCCACTACAATTACGCAATTAAGAAATTTGTGTAGCCTTAAGTGATGACTTAAAAAGTTATAACTGTGCAATACATTAAGGTAATATCTGCGGTCACAATTAATGGTAATGGTATTATTGGATTGCATGGTATTGTAAGGTGGTCCACACTGGTGGACAGAAATAACACGACTGTCATTGTGTGGTTGGATGTTTTAGTTTCAGAGCTGGATGTTAGCCCAGCTCTAATGCTACCGGATATCCTTCTCTGCTTTGAAATTCAACATTTGTTTGACACACGAGGCCGCAGATACATGCAACATGTAACTGAGACCTGAGAGGTGTACGTGTCGGTCCCTTTGCGAGCCTCTATGAGTTATGGTTTCCCAGACACATCCTTGCTTCATCTTCATTGGTGTTTCCATGTAGCCTCTTACAGCTTTTACTCAGCCACAGACCCTGTATGTTTCACTTCTGGTCATTAGCTTTGCTGTGTGTAAGCATCAGCCCCCCCTTTCCCCGCATCCAATCACAAACCCGTAGGCCACAAATACACCCATAAACCCGCACAGACCACGCCCCTCTCTCTCCACCCTCCACAGCTCCTCTCTCCTCCCGCCACACTTTGAAGTTCCATTCTCAAACCTTTTGGATCAGGATCAGAAAGGCTGTAAAACAGAATCACTAATTAATTAAGCCAAGTCAAATCTGAAACACTGTTTGTTTGCTCGCCAACAGAGCAGACACAACAGCCCAATTTCTTTCCTCCTGATCCAAAGCAGATCAAAGCAGACCTGTCTCATCCCTGGGTAGGGGAAAATGCCAGAAATGAAAGGCATCGTCCCAGGGAGCTTTCACCAACTTTTTGGAGAGGAGCTGCATTTTGGGTCCTGCTGTTTGATCATCTGAGGTGCTCAAAGGGAACATTGTGTGCAGGGGCAAATCTGTTCCGTAGCAGGCTCAATATGGTGGTGAGATGCTTATCTCGGAGCTAATGAAATGCCGGGAGGAGTAACAGTAATCTGCTATCACCCTCCCCCCTCCACGACCCCCACCCTCCACCGCCACCAGAGACATAAGCCGGCTCTTTATGAGAGAAGCTGCCGCCAGGGGATTGGCTGCACATCAGATCTGAGGGGCAAGACGAGGGCAGCCGAGGCTGGCACCCTCCATGCCAAGCCTGCTCCAGCAACCCTGCTACACACACGTGCATGCATACACTTGAACACGCACACAAACACCAGTTCTGGCAGGTTGGGAAAGCTGCCACACACAGTGAGCAATCACACCAAGCTTAGCTTGGAGACGTAACAGAGCCTGTCCCCCCTCATACATTCGGACAGCTCAGTGCTTGGTACCAAGGTGATTTTGGGATGGGCAGGATGAGATGGCCTTTGTAATTACTTTTCTCCTCCTTCAGAAACCACCACTGAAGTACTCAGCTTCTCATGAACCGGACACTTTGTATCCCTGCAGTCTCATTTAGCTACTTAGTGACCAACTGTAATCGGCAGCCTCCATGTGAACAGGTATAATACAATCTGAAGCAAGGTGCTTCTGAACAAAAGGATACAGAACTTCATAAAAAGCCCATCTAGGCTGTTCTTGCATGCGTGCAGTACCGATGTTGAGTATCCTAAAGACACTTTCATCGCTGAGCCCTTCTTCCCAGCCTTGCAATTTTTGCCAGAAAGTTCCCAGAAAACTTCAATCCCCAGAAAACTTTCTTTGGAAGTGCTTCCTTAAACCCAGAGGAAATAAGGCTTTCATGTATGTTCACTGTCCTATCATCTTTGTTCTCACTGTTTTCCCTCCCATTCCCACGTTAGTCCACTTTGTCAGATCTATAGACAATGGATCTGCAATCACAGCAAAGTGTCTTGTTATGAGGACAATTTATTTCAAGCTAAAATAACTAAAGAACTGTTTAGATAGCAATTTTCATTAGTAAGTTAACATAATAGCTGCACATATAATATTTGACAATTTCTCAGGCAGACAAATTAATTTGGATGTATCCACCTCTGGCTCATAAAGTGAGTCCAAACTCTGACGCTTGAAAAAGTGTGCTGGTATGAAACAGAAACTTGTTGATTACCTCAACTCCACTCATCTAGCAAAACTGTGTCCCATTCTCCCTGAATAAGACCCCACAAATATTCTGGTATGTGATATCTCTACACCCACAGACATGACACCGTGGCCGCCCCTTGCTTCCCATCAGTGGCTGAGTTTGCCTTCGTAACTTGAATATGAGAAATAAAATTTTATTAACGTCTGAATTATGGATATATTCACTCATAAACTATGGAATCTTTTATTGAAGCAAATTATCTAAGCTTGCACCCGTTAATCATGGAGAATGAACAGAGCACCATACTCTTTACTCTCTTTAATTTACAGCATCTGTCTTGAAGGGAGGACAAGCTCGGACCAGACTCCGGTTCAGCCCAATGACTAAACATCATTTCCAGCTCTATTTATCAGCCATGTTATCTCTTGTCTCTCTTCTCTATGAAGCACAACTGAAATAAAGGTCTCGCTTCCAAATTCTGGGCTGGTCTCATTCAACTTTGCATTTCAGCCTGCACCTCACGTCCAGTGCTGTCTTTAAATGGGAGGGAGAGACTTTCTTCTCCCGGAGCTCTTAATCCAGGATCACATCACATCAGGGAAAAAACATGGAGGAATGGAGGAACTTTGCAGAGCACCGCTGGGGGAGGGGTGGATAAGAGATGGAGGAGGTGAGGAGGCGGGAGGGAAGGTAAAGGGGACCTCATCAGCACATTGTTGGAGCTTAGCGAGTGGGTGTGGAGCAGAGGGGAAAAGAGGAACCACACAAGACAGTTGCAAACAGTATTTCTTGCAGGTTTTCATTCAAATCAAACTAACAGGGACCACATGAGCTGCTGCAACCTTTGGTGATGATGATGAAGAGCAAGGGGCCTACCTTCTAAGCGGTAGTGTTCATCACCAATCCCATCAGCACATGCTTCATCCATAGAGTCCTGGAGAGAGCAAGAGAGAGAGAACAAGACACATATATCAGTGCTTCAAGTCATATAGTGGAGAAGTATAATATTTTTGTCACGTAAAACAAACATCTTTAACAGTGCAAATCCACAGCACAGTTTTCCAACACTGAGTGACATGCCCAAATCGAAATTATAGCGTTTATACATCTATATATGAACAAAGTTTGACAGCTGCGTGCTGAGCTTGAACAGCAGCGGAAAGTTTAAGAGGCTAGTAATTGCAGGACTGAAATGAACTGAGCATAAGACTGGCAGTCGGAATTGAGACTATGAAATAAGTATCTAAATCACTGCCGTCGGCCCTGCAGGGAATTATGAGAAAGACGGCTGGTAGTAGAGGCTATTTCGGTGGCGGGCTATCGTTGCAGCGATACGTTCAGAGGCTTGTTTTGTCCCGGACAGTTTTCACCCGGGCCCCCTCTCCTGGCAGCTCTATCTGTTAGTGCATACCACAGAGACTGGTGGGACATGTGATCCCCAAACTTCGCTGTGGAAAAGTCTGGCTCAGGTATCCATGTTGCATTACAGTCATCTGGCCAAAAAACCATTACTCATGGGCTGACAAACGCATATACATGCACACATTCAGTGACCCACCCCTGTGCTTTCTTCCAGAGTTTCCCACTGCACATAAACTACTTTCAGTCAGTCATCAAAAATGAGACAAACTGCACACACTCTGCTTCGAAAAAAACATATTAACAACACTTATCATAGGTGATGATTAACCTTAATAATTAAAAATACCTCCTTTAATGTAAGTGTATGAGCATTTGTGTTTCTTGTATATATGGTGGTGTGTGTGTGTGTGTGTGTGTGTGTGAGAGAGGCAAAGCTGTGACAGCGTGAGAGGGGATTTCTGTGTAATCCAGAGAGGTAGAAGGTCAGATGGTGTGATCTTACCCTCCTCAGACTAGTGCCGGCCAGGCTGCAGCGTTGTAGGTGGCCTCAGGAAGAGAATAGAGCAAACCACAGGACTAACTGACTGGCTGGCTGTATGACTGATTGCCCAAAGCAGGTATAAACCTGTGTTTGTTGTTGGTGTGGATAGGTCAACACACGTTACAGCCTAGCTTCCATTAGCCTGCTCCTAAGCTGGTTTTAATGCAGGTCAGACGCTGCTCAGCTTCGAGATGATAAAAGGGTAACCAGTAGTTTCTATGATAACTGCAGGATCACATAAGGGTTACAACAGAGTGCAAGAAAAAGATACTAGAGCTGTGAACTATGCTTGAACTGACAACTGGTGTAAACAAAAGTGTTTTACTTCACCATATGTTTTTGAACAAGGTCAACAATGAACTTTCTTACTTCAAATGAGTTTTGTTGACAGATGTTCAGACTATATAAACTATATGTAGACTTAAGTATGATATATGATTGCATCCAGTTTTGCACATTTGTCAACTAAATTGATAATTCTATTGTCAATAAATGCTTATGGCCATTAAATGACTAGTCAGTTAGTTCAACAGTCACAGTCGATGCATCATTTTCAACAGGCAATTCATTCATGTTAAATTAAAGATGGCTACTTCTGCAGGTCCTGCATTTGTAGGGTTTGTGGTACTTGTCAGCTTTAGTAGTGATGAAAATACCTAATATTTACTATAAGTTTAATTATGACTTCTCTCCTTCTGTCAATATACACACTTGCTTTCTCCAACTTGTGTTCCACACAGATCGGCCCTCTCAGATAGGTCACAGTCATGGCTATGAGCCACATCACTGGGTAAGTGTAAATTACTCTGTGGTAACATTAACATTGGCCTCTGTTTCAATAATACCCCATAGATAAATAAAATCACTCCACAATCCAAATTCCTTTAATTCCTCACGCAGAGACACGTGCACACCCGTACACAAACACAGCATCTTGAAAGCATTTCAGTTTTCTGATGAATGATCCAAAATTATTGAGGGGTTAGCCAAGAACATGAGAAAAAAGGGGGAAGAGGAATGTGCTAATTGGTTGTTGTCTGTGGTGATGGATGGGAGCTGTATTATTAGTATGCTGGGGTTACTCTGGGATTTGCTCTGGTCAGTGTTAAGGAAAAAAATATCCCATGCTTTTTTTACTTTACACTCACACACGCATGCACGCACACACACACAAACACACTAACTCCTCCCCTCATGAAAAGTCTCTGACCACTAAATAGAAATGGATATACAAGGAAGTAGAAAAAGAAAAACAGTATTTTCAAACTGGAGCAGAAAACCCAAATTTCTCATCATCCTTATAAGTGTATTTTTCTTTGCCCTGTCACTTGTTAGTTGTTAAGAAAAAAAAGAAAGACAGTTCTCCTGGTTAAGAAACCATGTAATGATGGCAGGTATCCAATCTTAAAAAAAAAAAAAAAAAAAAAAATCTAATCAAATCATAAAAATATATGGGAATATTCAGTTTGAATTTTTGTTCTCAGCTTTGTGGACATCCTCTATGGAGCTCCTGATGGCACTACCACTTTCGAGCTTAGCTCTCAAGTTTCAGGCTTTGGCAGTGATTGATCAGATTGTCCTGGGCCGAAAAATAACATGCAAGAGTTCTAAAAATAAGATGTTTGCTTCTGAGTTTCCTGCTTTCCCACCAGCCAATTAGTCAGGGACACAATGAGGCAAATTTCTTTTTTCAACTCCAGAAAAGGGAGGTTTGGACGGCAGAAGCAACAGTTCTGCTTCCATCTTCCTGATATCATTTTGCTTCATCTCCTTAGTCTATGAATCATGTCGTGATATTATTCACAAACGTGACGTTGTGAAAAGAGATAAAACTTATTTTAAAAAAGCAGCAAATATTGTAATAAGATTTTAAATATACCATACTGAAGGCAGAACAGAATTACATTATCACACACTAAAGAAGTAAGAGATGAAGCAGTACTAGTAAAAGTGTTGTAACAGCATGTTAATGCTGGTTTTTGACAAGAAAGCAACTCAGTCCAGTTTGTTAAGCCACAGAGGAAAAAGGTTTGAACTCACTCCTTTCACTTTGACTTAAAATGAAGGCACTCAGAGTGGATTTTGCCCCAAACTGTGATGCTGGTCATCCCTCTCTAAAATGATTTCTCAACTAATGAGTACAGATGAGCTTAACTGATGCAACATTTACAAACAGTTAGTGAATCTGAATGGTCAAGGCTGTCAATGAGAAAACTGGGTCTCATTAGTTTCTAGTACACATGTACTGTATGCATGCACAATGACCAGCTATATGTATGAAAACGGTAAAAGAGCCATCAATCTCATTTGGTCCAGCAATGAGCCAATAATGGGCTTCTCTTGGGACCCTCACTAATTCAAGGATCAGAGGTCACTGTGGGAGAAGCTACCCCACCCACAGTGGCTCAATTTCAGTGCAAACTATGAAAACATGAGAGTCAATCCTCCATGAAGCAACTATTGGCATTGGCATTATAAACTCAACACAATATGATTCAGAGGCACTGCTGACTAAGTCTGCTAAACACTGGGTGTCATTGTTTTGACTTTCAGTCTGCTCATTCATTCAATGCAGTTGTTTGTGCATACATGTTCTAACTCTGCTGTCATTTCAGACTCTGTTACGCCCACCTGCCAGCCTTTCCCGGCAGTAGAATCACCTGACCTGCTCCTCCTCTGCACTCAGTTGCTCACCTGTTCCCCATTCCCTCATCAGCTCCTCAGTATATACAGTATACCAGCCTGTTTCCACTTGCTCTCTGCCAGGTCTTTGTGCCACTTGCCTTAGCTTTCCAGCAGTCAGTTCTCTGCCTACCTGTTTTGATCCTGAACTGTGTTTTGGACCTTGTCTGCGTTATTTTGGATTTTGCCATAGCCCAACCCTTTGTTGGGAGCTTGGATTTTTATATCCTTGTTTTGTTCTACGCAAAGCCTTCTACATCTGCCTCCTGAGTCTTGCTCTTGGATCTCTTTTTCCGATGACCGTGACATTGGGTGTTACAGTGTTTGGATGTTTTGCTCCTGCTTGTCTCTGTAGCTTATGAAAGCTACAGCGAAGGTCTCACTTCCCTCTCTGCAGGATTCGGTCAGAGGTGCTGGCTTCAGGGCACAAACAAGCATCTTTCTGTTGCACTTGAGACCAGCTAAAACAATTTTCCAGACATGATGTTAAATGTTCTGTGGAAACCAGCGCATAAAGCATTTTGCTTTCAACGGCAGCCACGTCCAGAGCTTCTTCAGGGCCTTTAGGACAAGGGATTGTATGGCCCCTGTGTGTCTTAAAGTCATTCAAGCCCCTTTACAGAAAGTGATTTATTACTGGACTATAACACAGAACACAGTGTGCCTGCCCCATTACAACATCCCATATACATAACTCGCCGGCCTGAAGGCTTGTTTGGGTTGGCCATTGGAATTATTTGGCAATCCTCATCAATGGCACACTATATGAATATGGATTTGGAGATGCCAAAGACAGATTAGCATACTTAAGAATGATAATATTTACTAAACTAACACTACATCAAGTTATTTGTTTAAGAATGGCAACCACTCTACAGTACTCAGTATGTTTTCTTTATTAATGAAAACGTCAGCTCATTCAACGCCAGGCCTTAGACCAATTATTGCTAACTATAACAAACTAATAATTGACACATTTCAGTTAAACTCGATTACAGCGGACAAAATTAAATATAACTCAAGAATACTTTAATGGAAGTGTGGACTCAAGGCTTCAACAGATTTTCACCAGGATGATTTCGATGATTTTCACTTAACATGAAAGCACACAGTATATGTTTGGATAGCCGATAAATTTGTAACCTAATTAACACAGCTTACAGAAATATCTTCATAGCTCGTTGTTGCTATACATAGTGTATAGCCCTGTGTGTCTAAACATATAGATCAAGTCTGTGGACATGTGATAATAAATGTCTATCTCAGGCGAAAGCCTATTCTAACTTCATTTCACCACTGAGGTTGGAATGCGCTACATGCAGTGTAGATGTGAGAGCTGTAGCCTTTAC